TCTCTCTCTCTCAGGGAGTGTGTGTATCTTGCATGAATTGATCCAATCTTTTATGCATCGAAGTGAAAGAAAAAAAACATAACCAGCTTGCAGCAAAAGTATATGCACCAGACTGAGGTTATATTTAACTAACGCCTCAACTTATGTCCCAACCAACACATGTTGAATGCAAAGATACAAGAAAATCTGAATGAACATCTAAGTTCTGTAGCACAAGCAGTGTTGCAAGGAGTTCCTAAGTAACATGATATTTGAGAACAATTAACTCTCACGAACTGATAAACTAAAGTCTTTAAGAGGATAATTTGATTGGCAAACTCACCCGATGGATGACAGCTTTAGCAATTCCCCACTTCTTGATGTAGGGATTAGCTGACAATGGAAAAGGCCTGTTAACTCCAAAGCATTAATGGCCACCTCACCTAGACGTAACAAGGCCTTTGTAGCTTTGCTGTAAGAGAGATGGCACATTGTCATGAAACCATAGATCAGTACGACAAATAAACAAAATAAGAACAACAATTACACAGGAAACATCAAAGATAGAGGCAGCAACAGCATACATTCTTGGATGTTTGTTTAGATCCCAGTGAAGAAATCTCAACCGGTTGTCCTCAGGAAGATCTTTATTTATGAAGTCAATAGCATTAGCGAATTCTGCACGAAGAATTGTTTCTCTGGGCCTCTTCTCACGAGTCTGTTTAGCATAAAAAAATAACAAATAAAGCACGGGGGAGAGTCTGAGAAGGTCAGAGTACCGCTTCATAATGAAAAAGTAAGAATAATGGATTGAATACTGAAGCATGCAAAAAATTACCTTAATTAAATTTAATATAATAACTGGATTTCCATATCTTTGAATAAGATCTTCAAAGTGAAGTTTGGTGGCTTCAAACTTGAGGTCCTTCCTAGACACTAAAGGGTAAGAGAGTTAACAAAAATTTGAGCAAATGGATACTCGAAAAATCTCAAGTGTCATTTGGACGTACATATGATGTCAGGTTTTATATTCAAACGTGAAGTTTCCTGAGACCAGAAAAGAGGTATTGAACCACGGTTCTGTACAACAGCGCTTACTCCAACAGGGGACCCTTCACGTACATTTTCAAACACAATCTGTTCTGTCTCGACGTCATTTGCTACATGACCCTTCTCATTTACTCCTCTTTTTAAATATCTGTGTGAAATAAAAGGAATTAAAACTCCACAACAAAAAATGTTAAGCACTTACGATGTTGAGGTCACATTATAACAACAAAAATGGTTAAGCACTTACTGATGTTGAGGTCACATAATATATAATGCCTATCACATTGGGCATTCACATGAAAAGTAATTAAAAACATTTAAGAGGTACGAGAGCTTTCTTCATAATTTGGTGCGTACCTTGTTCCAGGCCACTTGCCAGGACTTAAAATAGCTAACAAATTTAGCACAATACAAAATCTTTCTAAAATGCAATGAAATTAGTGAATAGCAGGAAAAGGATGATATATGTTTCAATTGTACAAACCTGGTACCAGCATAATGACGAGAACGTCTAGCAATTAGGGTTAAGATGAAGTCCTGTGCAGAAATAGTAAGTGTAACCTGTTCCACAAAACACGAGAAAATGATAAACTGTTGAAAGTACGATTCCATTTATGGTGCCATTTAATAGGTAAAGCAAACATAAAATGTCACAAAGATATATTCTGAAATAAAATCATAAGCTATTTACATCCAATTGAATACTCCAACTAAAACAACAAACATTTAGCAATATGGTATACCATATCAAAATGGCATCTTGCCCAGCTACGTTAGCTAGGATTTAGATTTCTGCTCGGTTACGCGTATAAATTTAGAAGAACAATTTCAAACAGAAAATACCTGTTTAAAGAACCCATAGACTAACGCAACAGTCCAGAGAGTATTTTGGAGCTGATTGTGGATTCCGCGAGTTAAGAATTCATTCCATACAAACATTGTCTCATAAAGGGTGAGTCCTGTCTCTGAGCTGCTCAGATTCTTTTGAAAACTAATCATAATAGGATAGGAGTAGCTGAAAAAGAAGTCCTTTGTGAGGTCCACCATGTGCAGGAGCTTTTGATATCTGTTTCCCGAAAAGAAGAAAAGAAACAAAAAGAGGAACCAAAAGAAAAAAGTGAGTTAACATAAATCTGATGCAGCAACTAAATAGAGGGGTAGAGGAAAAAGTTTTGAAATAAGCAATATGAAATAAAAATTTCAATATGTGCGCCGCTGGAATCCTGAAGATACCTTGTCTCATTCAACATGTAAAAATTTGCTCCTGTAGTTTTGTAGGAAATAAACTGGCAATGGGCTCTATGAATGACTTAGCTATAAAATGCTCAACTATAGAGTTTCTCAGTATACTCTTTCTGCGAGCATCTGAACGACTCGGTCAACATGAAATCCGTTGGCAGTGAATGTGTTACAAGGTGTATTGCTAAAATAGTATAGCAATTACCTCAATAACATAGGACTTCTTACAGAATGCAAAGTTCAATAGTCACCAAACAGAAGAATATTTAAAAAAAACATCGATAACAGTTATATAAAGATACAAAGAAATCAGAAGTGTTTTCGTTCCATTATATTGCCTTCTAAAAGTACTACGGACATTTTACATTTACATGCAGAATTGACTAAAGACCTGTTCTCATCCTTAGAATAAGCCATATTGGAAAGCAAAGTAGAGTGCGGAATTGGGAACATCTCGCTCTTAGTGATAGCATAAACAGCATGACCACATATCTTTCCAATCTTCCTTCTTTCTGTGATAACCAGGAAGTAATAAGGTCCCAAAAACTTTATAAAACCTAGAAGAAGAAAAGAAACATCAGTTGCGTCAAACATCACCACACATCTATAAAAGGGTGACATTTCGAAAGTATAATATACCAATAATTCCGTAGCAACGAGAAATGAATTTAAGCCCTCCAGTAGATCTGTTTCCTTCATGTATTCTTTTTAGGAGGTCTAAGCATTCAATCTCTGAATATGACGTAGGGTCTTCATGAATGATTAGTTCCGAAGGTTCTAATCTGTCAATCTTTAATACTTTCCAAAAAGTTCTGGTCTTATCCCATCCAACCATGTAGAAGTTCTGTCCCATATAAAAGTAAGTTAAATATCCCTCTAAACACCAATTAAGGTAACTTCATAATCTTCACACAGATCAAGTAATAGATATAACGACAAAAGTAATTAATGACTTTAAAACTGCGCAAAATGACACATTTAGGCTGATTCAGCAAGTTCAGCATAAGAGAGAGATACAACCTACCAAAACAGGAAAAATAATTAAGGGCCAGATTGTTTCGAAGCTATAGTCCTAGATTCTCGGAGAGGAGATACACTGAGTTCTAGACGGGCAAACAGCGCGTGTGGCGGTACCTAAATCCGTACTCCATAGTATTCGTTACTCATTATCGATGCATTCATTAACATAGCAACAAGAAAATTAATGCACCTAGCAAGCTGGACACGAACAGGAGCTCGAACAAAACTAAGGGCACACCAATAAAACCACAGAGTTGATCAAAACAGTGAAATTAATTTATCTCTTGAGATCGAAAAGTTAATGACCATATGGCGATCTAAAATGAAAGAGTTGTACAAAGAGTACAAGTCAGCATTTTGAGAAAATATTTACTCTCTCTGTCCCAATATGTTTGGCATGTTTTGGCAAAGTAATTAGACAAACTATTAGGGCAAAATCAGACTTAGATCAGTTTAAGTTAAATTAAGATATTCAAACACAATCTCGGAGATTGTTTTGAAGCTGTAGCCCTAGAATCTAGGGGAGCAGATACGCTGAACGCTAGACGGGTAAAAAGCACATGAATTAGTACCTAATCCATACTCCATAGCATTTATTACTCGTTATTGATGCATTCATTAACACATAAACGAGAAAACTAAAAAAAAAAGCGGGAAGCTTGTAGAACTTATAATGCACCTAGCAAGCTGGATAGCTCGAACAAAGTTAAGGGCACACCAATAAAACCACAGAGTTGATCCAAACAGTGAATCAATATATCTCCTGAGATCGAAAAATTAATGACTATACGCTCAAACCATAAAATTCCGTTAATCTAAAACTACATTTGACAAAACGATTACTCTCTCCGTCCCAATTTATTTGTCATTTTCAGCAAAGTCAACATACAAACTTTCAGACTGGATCAATTCAGATTAACATTTAGATATTCAAACACAAAACAGAGAACATTCCTAGTTGTGATTCTTCTAGATATCAAAACACGGCAAAAAAAAGTAAATTTTGAACTGTTAGTCAAGTTAACCAAATTAAAATGTTTAGTGTTTTAAGTAACAGAGATGACAAAATGACAGCAAATCGTCGAACATATACCGAGCGAGTCTCATAAAGCCGGAACTTTTGCAGATAAAAGCCTCTGCTGTTTTCATGTGAATTGATTAAACGCCGTTGCTTGTCATCTGTCCCCATACTTCGCACCTGTTCCAAACATAACAGAATTCTTCTTTTATTCCACATAAACTTTAGAATCATAATCACAAGCAAAAACAAAACAAAAGCTTGAAATTAAGACTGATAAATCAAAAACAGAAAAGAGCATAAGGAGGAAGAGATCAACCAAGTTATAGAGTGAATTCTCGCCGACGGTGGAGGAGAGTGGTGAATGGCGGGGTTTACAGATCGGACAAGGAACAGCTCCGGCGACTGTGTCCACATAATAAAATGGGTATATATATATTTAGTTGGAAAAAAGAGAGTTCAATTTTTTGTACAGCTAAGCGTAAAAAGGAACTTTTCAAAATTGAGCCGTATAATAATTCAATCATCATCATGTTGTCGTTAATTTCCTGCTTCTGAATTTTACTGTTTTTACCTGAGTACCTCTGCATTTACGTTTGTGGGCGTTTGGTTTTCATTTTTATTATAAATAAATAAATTATAAAAAAAAAAATCTTTCACATTTAGTTTTTCAGACATGACTTGTGTCTCGATTATATTATTTAAAAATAATTGTATTTTAATTAAACACTTTAATTCAAAAATAAAAAATAAATTTACAAATCATCATCTTGCAAAATGATGTTCATTTTCTCATAGTTATATATATTAATTATTATTTTTACCAAGTGTTATCAAAGTAGATATACAAGAACAGAAATGAATTGCGAGTCGAAATAATTTATGCATCGAGCGATGCTTTTAATGAGCTGAGGATGAACTTCTTCTTCTAATTAAGTGCTCTCATAGTCTTGTAGGAAAGTTCACATCACACGGCTCATCAACTAGATTTTATGCGGAAACTGTATATTTATGGTGCGAAATTAATTAATGACTCGTGGCGCGAAAAGAATTAATGGTAAAATAAGTATTTAATTATGCACTATAACTGTTTGCTAAATTAACATGATGTACACTATCTAAAATTGGATTACACCAATATATTCGAAAAAAGAGATTACATCAATATAAAGGAAAAGGGAAACGTTTGCCATGTGTTTAGTGATAAATCTTAATTATCTTTTAACCAAATGTTACTAAAATAGATATATGAAATCAGAAGTGAATTACAAGTCGGATCAATTTCCGAACGGTTAGTGCCTCCAGTTTTATGATGACAAACTTCTTCTAATTACGCGCTCTAGTTTGATATCACACGGCTCGCGAACAACATATTCATATCGCAAGATTAACCACTAGCTTGTATCGCAAAATTAATTAATAGCAATAATAATTATTTAGTTATGGATTATAACTGTATATGCTAGATTAAAATGCAGTACACTATTGTAGCATCGGATTGCATCAATTTAATCTGGAAAAAAGATCATAACAATATAACGAAAAAGGGAAATAGTACAAGGTTGACAGGCTGTACACCAATTTTACATTTAGAAAAATTGAAATATGATCTAAGAAATTGGAGAAAATATTATTGAAATGCAAAAAAATGGATAGTCCGATGCACTAAGCTCTCGCTATGCAATAGATGAAAAATAGCTGAATTTCTTAATCAATAAATGAAAACACGAAGCCAAATGATGACCTAAAAGAAATTAGGCTATAGCTAAAAATAATTGATTAGATTTAATTTACATTTGGTTCCATGCATGTTTTAAAAAAATGTTTGAGTTGTTTTTATTTTTCTAAAATTATTTTGAGTTTTGTTTTCTAGGTCAATTATGTACATTCTTTAAAAACAGACACCAATATTTGGTTTTAATATATATTTTTATTTTCTGAAGGTTTATAAAAATATTATAAAAACAATTGTTTGAGAGAAATATATAAACCTTTCTCTTTCTTCAAATAAGCTGTAGCTTTCTTATTGTCACCTGCTATGAATTGATGATTTCAAATTCTCATCTATCAAGACCTTGCAAAATATAAAAATTCGTTTCCACACAAGAATGATTTTTGAGAAAAAGTCAAAACTTTTAAAAAAATTGGTGATGTTTATTTGTATTAATTTTTAGTCATGCAAACTTTTGACAAGAGTGAGTTGCTCTAGTGGTAAGCACCCTCCACTTCCAATCAAGAGGTTGTGAGTTCGAGTCACCCCAAAAGCAAGGTGGTGAGTTCTTGGAGGGAGGGAGCCGATGGTCTATCGGAAACAGCCTTTCTACTCCATGGTAGGGGTAAGGTCTGCGTACACACTACCCTTCCCAGATCTTGTTGTCGTTTAATCATGCAAACATTTAGTGACCTAATCTATTTCATTAAATATGCATAAACACTAAATTTAAAACTCAATTACTAATACGCGATATTGTTATCCTGGAATTTAGAATAAAAAAAGAATCCTACGAGAGTCAACCACTACACCTGCCAAGAACAAAGTATTATGATAACAAAATCATTATTTCTATGATAATAGTAATTTGACACATATTTTAAAAATGAGAGAATTTAGCACGGATTAGTCTTTTTTCCTTTTTTGCTAAGTATAAGATGAGATAAAGTTAGGATTATCTAACTTGGTTTTTGAAGTAGTTCAACCAAAGGATTATAAATCGTCATGTGAATTGTGAAAGTTTAAATTAATCCAATGACTTCCTTCTTCCTCGATTAAATATATAGAAAGGTCGACATAAGCATAATGTTATCAATTACGTACGTTTATTATTTTGCTTATTCTTGTAATCGTTATATTAGGAAAATATTAAAAAACAATCTGATTATATAGTCAGTAAAAAAAATCGCCCCAGAAAATATTATAAACAGAAAAATCGACATATGCATAAAAATATTGTCAAATATTACGATTATTTTTATAATCGACTGTCTCACTTAATTACGATTATTCGTATAATCCAGAGTTTAAGATAACACATAATTAAAACACAATCATATACTAATAGATAGGAGAATCACACCAAAAGGCATACTATAGAAAAGAGATATAGCTCATAATATAAACTTAACTTTGATTTATCTGAATCAGATTTTCCTTAATCTCAAACTATATCCGAGTTCAAAACAATAGAAATGCATATATATTCCTTGGCCCCCATCCAGAAAATAATGCTAATGCAAATATGCTATATTCGTTATTCTATAATCTATATTCAGCAGCAAAATGATGATTTTCATTTTTTAAATTTTAATAGGAAAAGGGTCAAAATTGCCCTTGAGTTATACAAAATAAAACACTTTTGCACTCCGCTAATAGTTATAGTTATTCGTGCCCTTTTGTATATTTTTTAATCTGTAGAAATTCGTGCGAATATTTGAATTGATGATAAAGAATAATTTGGGCACCTTTGAAACCTTATAAAAGAAAAGGAAAGCTGCTACTTTGAAACCTTATACCATTCAAACTTTTATGGACGAGAATTAACTATGAAATTTAAATGAAAATTTGGGAAGAAATGATTTTCATCTAAGTCATTGCCTATTTGATTTATGGTTTAACATTGGCATGTTGCCTACCCAGTACATCATATTAACGTAGCTAGAAAGGCCATAATTACGCGACAATATCTATTATGTGTACTGTAAAATAATCCCAAAAAGTAGTTTTTTTCCGTTCTATTTTATATCACATCCTGATATGTTTTGTAAATAAAAATAATGGCATATTCTTATATTTGTAAGTTCTTTAATTTAATGTTTTTACTTTTCTCATAATGACACGCTCTTATACGGGATTACATAATATTTTAAAAACAATAAAATTTTAAAGAAATTTGAAATATTACACAGCATGATTTTGCGTGTGTATCAATATATGAAGCTCCTTTTTTAAGAAAAAAATCTATTACATAGGAGATTAGCTGATTAAAGAAAGGGAACTAAAAGGAAGGAAGACGGTGAGAACTGAGAAATATCTATACACTTATTGTGATAAAAAATTAAAACCACAAGACTATGTCTTAATTATTGACTATATAGTACTATATATTTAATTTAATTTAAGTGTTGATAGTCTTTCTTTCTTTCTTTTTTTCAAACGTCCTACTCATCGAGTCTCATTTTATGTGTTAGTTTGATTGATCAATACGGATTTTAAAAAAGAAACAATGACTCTTAATTAAAACTTGTGTTTAAAGTAAGTTGCAAATATTCATATAGCCATAAATAATATCAATAAGGGTAAAATATAATTAACACTTAATCACTCTTAAATGTAAAAAGATATTATTAATTACACAAACAACAACAAACTCAATGTGGTTTCATAGGTGGAGTCTGAGGAAGAGAGTGTGTACGCAAATTTAACTCCTACCTTACGAGGAGTAAAAAAAAAAAATCGAAAAGATATCATAAAAAAAGTGTATTACATAATCTCGAGAGAGAAAAGTGTATTTAGTTTTTTAACAATGATATCATATTTAATTCTAGACGAAAAAAATGAGAGTAGATAATTCAGGCCAGGTGTGACAGGAGTTGTTCAAAAGGGGTTTTCTGTATATGACGTGGAAAATATGAGGAGAGCACGATTGTCTCGTTGCAATTTGTTTAACCAGATGTCTCACTTTTGTCATTATTTGAACTGACAAGGATTAGCACGTGCCCTAATTACACACAATTATTGGCAGATGAAATCCTAGAAAGTGACTGCGGCAAGTCTGTTGGTGTCAGCGCCACTGCCCGAGTTAATACACGACAAAACCAAAAAGACACCCGCTCCCGCTTACCGCTTATTTTTCGGCTGCATTCCGTATTTGATATTCCATATTATATCCCAATTAATTCAGATTTTATCGTGTAAAGTCTATTAAAAAAAGGAGAGAATTGGTGGTGTAATTTTTTATAAATTTATTTTTAGTTTTGTATCTTTTTTACAAAAAAAATTCGTTTAATACATAAAAGATCTGAAAAGGTTTTTTTCCTATTCAAATTGTAAATGATCACAAGATATTATTTCATCTTAAAAGAGAAATTTTTTACCAACATATTTTTTATTTTTAGAGTTTTGGACATAAAATTTCTAACTAAAAGGAACGAATTCTATTTATCATATCACAACTCTTTGGTACAAAGAATAAAGATAATAAACTCAATATATAATTTGGGATTATATTTATCTCATGTTTGATTATAGGTATTAGCTAATTTCGAGATAAATTTTACACTAAAATGATGAGATTATAAATGTGAGATATCCATAGGCGGATCCAGGATTTAAGAGTTATGGGTTCAACTTTAAGATTCTTAGCATCAAACCCTTTGTATTTGTAAAGTTATGGGTATCTACTATTTCTTACAATTTTAGTGAACTTTTATACGTAAATTTGTATCTCGCATCAAAAGTATTGAATTTAGATGAACCCGTACTAGTATACTAAATCCGCTTTCAGAGATAACT